TTTTAGAAATGGCATCTTCAGGAAAGTGAAACGGCTGCTCAGGTTTTCTGACTGTGTACTTGTTCTCACTTGGTGCTTCTCGAAAATGCGAAGTTAAATGTGACCGTTCTGTTCATGGGAATCGAGATTAGTGTAGAGGAAGAGGACACTGCAGTATCTATGGCCTTCAGTGGTCAAAATTGGTCCAGTTGAGAACTCTGACGATGAGCTTGCGACAAAGGGCCCACTCCTAGCAATTCATTTTTCTCGTGATTTCCCTCTGCCCTTCCCACTAAATGCTGATTCAGGGGTTGTATGGGTGTGACTCTCTTGAGTGGTGAAACCGGTGCCCCTCACTCTTGATCCATCTCGGGTACTTAGGTGTTCAGAAGACCAACCTCTAAAGATTCCCGAAGAAGGACTGGCACCGGCGCTAGGATTTCAGTCCTGCACTCAGCACCTATCGGGTCCTCACCCTTAGGACATCCCTTTAAAGTTTCTAAGAATCAGGCAATTCTTCTCTGAAATGAAAATGAAGGATGATCCCATCTGTTTGTCATCATTAGATGTGAACATGTATGTAAAGGCACTTGGATACATATGAAATATTGTATAAAAGTAAAGAATTGGTTTTGAGCTTTGATTTCTCCAAAGGTATTTATGTGTAAAAGGCTGTCTTACATAGATACAACTTACATGTGTGTAGAAAGCCTTCACCAACACGTCAGGGGACTTGGATGTTTTATAATATTGTCTGCGCAATGACTAGCCTTGTTTACTTAGTGACTGTTTGTTGAGTACCTACTATGTGCCGGGGATTTTCTAGGTGCTGAGGATAAAGTAGTAAACAGGACAGACAAGGCCTTTGCCCTTACGTGGTGTTGACCTTCTGAGGTTGTGGAGGCCGGGGGAAGAAACACCATACATATAAACAAGTGAGATGATCTCAGATAGTGGATGTGCTCTGGAGAAAGTAAGACACGCCACACACTGGGGAGTGAATGAAATAATGAGAACGTGTCAGTCACGTGAGGACCTGGGAAATGGTTTTAGGCAGCAGGCTAGGAAGAGGGAAAGAGCTTGGGATATCTGAGGAACAGAATGTGGACAGTATTTGGAACCTGAAGAAGAGAAAGAAAGATAGAGAAGCAGCAGCCAGCTCACAGAGGCTCAAGGAGGCCATGGTAAGGGGTTAGGGTTTATTCTAGTTGCTACGAGAGGCTGTTGGCAGGTTTTAAGTGTGCCTTGTAGAGGGTGGGGCAAAAGTAGGCTTATAGTTGTTCTTATGGAAAATAATTAATAAATAATGATACAAGAATAAACTCTGTTTAGCATACTCACAACTGTAAACCTTCTTTTGCCACACCCTGTATATTACCAAGCAGGGAAAACTAAACGGTGCCTGTTCAAAAATCACAGATTTTTATTTTTCATTTTTAAAGCGATTTACACTTCATCTTCGTCCCTCTGCAGGATCTAAGAAAGAAGCTTGGACCTGTAGAGGGCGCCAAAGGAAAACGTTTTGTGGCCAAAGCCACAAAGGCTCTTTCAGCACCTAAAGGGAAGGATAGCGCTCGGATTGTTAGGTGAAAGGTGACTCAACTTAGAAATTGTAGTTCATCTACAACTCCTCCCTAAACAGAAAGTTTGATGAACTTGGTTTGCATGTACCAGGACCTTGGCTTTCACAGTGTAGGATTGTTTATGATGAGGTGGGTGTGGGAAGACATGTTGGGGTTATTTTTAATCTCCTGCCATCTGGTAGTATTTGTGTAGAATATAAAACAAATATGGAGCCAAAATTTACTTTCTGGATTCATTTGGCATGAAAAGTGCCTCTATACTTAGAACTTAGAAAATATTCATCTTTTGCCACTTAGGATGTGTTTTTCCAAATACTATTCCAAGCCGACTGGATGAAATCTTTTGGTAACGCGTCCTGAGGAAGGCTAGTGTATGAAAAAACAGTAGCTTATAATGGAATTTTCTGCACGTGACCATATAGCTATGCTGTATTGTGAGAATAACCTATAGAGAAAAAAAGAGATGGGGAAAGAAAGACGAGAGGACAAAAGAAGAGGATGAGAAGCGGGAAAGGGAGGAGGGGGAACAGAGATCTGATGGTTAGGTATGGTAACAAAAATGCATAAAAAATAATGAGAAAACTTGGAAGAACGTGAGAGATTCAGTTCAGATCCATGTACAAACAGGATTGAGAAACACAGTTAAAATATAATGTTATACAATCCAAAATTGAATCTTTATCACAAGGAGGTATTAAGGTTCCTGGTCATTGTGATACAACTTTCATTATTGTCTTTAATTAGAAAAGTTCAGCTGGTCATCCCCTACTAACTGAGGCTCTCATGGCCCCATCTCATGCCGGAAGACCATAGCCACATACTTTACATACTCGTTGCTCTACACAGGGAGCCTTCAGAAAGCACTATAAACACTGCCAACCACATGACTAGCCTGAGCAATGCAGACAGAGCCATCGGAGAAGGGAGAGAATCCTAAATTGCCAGAAGCCCAGAAGGTCAACCATGGGTCAACCACTCACACGGTGCCAGCGCTCTACAAATCATGAGCAATTTTCAGAGGTGTTGTACCAGCTTATCTTATGAACCATCTGTTCAAAGCTGGGCACACGGAGGAGGAGTTTTTAAGCTTCAGGTACAGCAGAAGTGGCACAGAGCCCGAGGCTACAGCAGGGACTCACCGAGCGGCCAGCACCTGTCACCAGCCTTCTATGGGAAAACACTTCCACTGATGTGTTCCCCTCATCTTTATCCAGAAGCCCCCAAACCCAGTCTCCTGTTACCACCAGACATTTGGCAAAGAAAGTGCCAGACCATAAATTATCTATTGATTCTAATGAGCTGAAACAATAGAGGCACTGTCTACCTTCTCATTCACAGACAATGGGAACTTTGTTCACCTAAACACATCCATATTTAATAGGGAAAGAGCGGAATAAAGCGGGAGAAAGAGACCTGAAGGGTCAGGTTCCATCTAAATATTTCAAACCATCTGCATCAAAATGCCCCTTTTTAATTAAGCAAAACTTGCTTTCTTGGTCAATGACACCCACCTCGGCCCCAATTCCCAAGGTTGACTGATTGGGAGTATTGGGGGTGGCTTCTGCAAAGAACACATCGTCAGTAGGTCCCCAAAGCCATCAAGAATTCCCAGATAAATGTATGTCATAGGATTGTCTGAGCTATGGGGTGAGATGACATAAGCAGGGTTCCAGCACCAGCAATTAGTATGTGCTTAGCAAACGTTGATTCCTCCGAGAATTGAGGATGTGCGGCCCGAAGATACACAGCAACCCAGCTCTGAATCCCAGAGTCCCTTAGCACTCCCTGCCGGGACTCTCAGAGTCAAGCTGGTAGGAAATGGGTCACCTTCTCAACTGGGTGCTTCTCCTCCCCCTGCCTCCTGCTCCAGAGGCTACTGACCCCGGGGGAGGTGTGCGGAGTAGGAAGACGCTGGCTTCCTGGCTGATGTCAGGGATGAAATACAGAATCAGAATGGGGGGGGGGAGGGGAGAGGGGTGTTGACAGAAACTTTAGAAGTTTTAGTTCCAATTCCTCTAGGAAGAGAAATGCCACCCAGTAACACCCAGGACCAGGACCTCCCAGGTACAAGGCCCTGGGCCCACCCCAGGGAGGGGACTCAAGTGAGCAGGCCACCTGCCTCTCGGAACGCTATTTTCCACACCACCCAGGGGAAGAGCGAGGCAGGCAAGAGTTACCTGGTTGATGGCAATGACCGCCAGTCGGGGGATCACCACTTGGAGGACCACCTGCAGCAGCGAAGTGCCCAGGCCGGCCAGGATGGCCCAGGTGAGCGGCAGCGGCAGCATGCTGTAGGTGGCGAACAGCGTGAAGAGCACGTAGCCGATGCCGTCGCCCAGGAGCCCGTAGCCAAGGCCCGCGGCCAAGATCTGGGTGGTCATGGCCACCCAGGTGACCAGGCCGCTGTACTGCAGGTACGTGTGCGAAGTGGTGTCCTTCCTGACCACCACCAGGGCGCAGATGACCACCTCGATGCCCGTGAAGAAGCCGAGCAGGATGCCCTTCAGCGGGTCCATGGGCGCCGAGGCCAGGCTCAGGTGGAGAACCAGGAGGGTGAGCTTGGTCAACACGTCCAGCACATTCATCACCACCTCGGACTTGCGCCTCTGGCCCAGGAAATAGCGCTGGTAGAGGCGCTCCAGGTCCCGTGACTTGAAGGAGTTGCGCAGGGTGGGGAAGATGACCCCTCGGTAGCTGTAGCCCCCATTGAGGAAGAAATCCGAGTTGCTCGGGGCGCAGTCCAGGTGCAGGAACCCCAGGTCGCCCCCTCCCCCGCTGCCGCTGGCGCTGCCGCTCCCGCTGCGTTCAGGGAAGACTTTGGTGCCGCTGGTGCCGTGCGCTCTCTCCGAGGTGCCCAGCGAATAGAGGGGGAGCGCCAAGTCGCCGGACAGCTGCGAGGCGGG